TGACAGCCGCACCAGATACAGTATAGATGAGTTGAGCGGAGATAGCATGTTATTTGCTCCAACCTAGGATAGTAATTTAGAAGATTAATTCAATATAAACGCAGGGAGTTTTTTAAGTTCAGCCAGAAAATAAGCATACATGCTAGCAGTTGCGACCATTTAGATTACACTATTCACAAGCAATAGTTACTCATTCATCGATTCAAAGCTAAGCCAACGTAAAAAATACGAAAAAGCGCGGATTTTATGTAACACTATATTCCGTACCTCTCAAGCAGTTCTTCGTCGCTAAGTTCATCAAAGCGTTCTTCCTCCGGCGCCTCATTACCGTTTGCATAAAAATACCTAAAATTGAGAATAATGAGTAAGTTGATCAAATCTGAGATATGTCAGCATGAGAAAGGGAGTGAGTAGGCTATGAGATGATGTGAAAATGCAACGGTGTAGTGTTGATATATAGATGACGAGAACCCACCTTGGGTCTTCATCCTCAGGGCTTCCGGCACGTTGATGCCCTTCGAGAACATCTGTACTAGTCGGCTTCTTGTAACTTTTCCAAAACCATGATTGTTTAGGATGCTCAATATTCATCCTGAAAATTCAAAACTTCTTACTGAAATGAAGAAATAGGTGCAAAATCACAAAAAGAGAATGGTCAACGTCAACTCGCCTCAAATCTAACTCGACGCAAACTTTTCTGCTTGCTATAATGTCACGAATGAGATCTTTGGTATTCGACATGCCTCGTTTTCTTTTTCGATAATCATCAATCAACTCAACCTATAGGAAAATGCACATAAACCCAAATCGTAAAAACGAGGGATTGGACTGTAAGTATAGAAAAGTGGAAAAGAAAAGGAAAACTCACTGCTTGCTCTGCTCTTCTTTTCATGCTTTCCATCTCTTGCTTTAGTCTCTGTTTTGCTCGATATTCCTGTTCACTATCGTGCCCTAGTCCACTTCGAGAAACCTTTACCTCCATTTTGATGGGCTCTTTGATTCCTGAACCAAGATCTTCCACTAAAATAAGTCGGAAGAGCACACTTCTACAATTTATTAAAAAAGCGGAGTAGTTGGTAGTTTACAAGAAACACCGCACCATCTTTCTTCTTCCCAAGGCTCATTCCAGGCTTAAATCCCATCTTTGCCATGAGAGCGAATCCTTTTGATGTTTCCGGAACTGGCTTACTCAATGCATCATCCCGTATAGCTTTCTCTAGAATGCGTGTGTGATTTCTACTGAGTAAATTACATGCGTTGTGGAGAGTATGAATTAGTTTCGTATTTCTCGCCACAGAGCTATACCTAGTTTGATTTGGCGGTTATCTGCGGCAGACATCTCAAATATGTGTTTTTTATTTGCTTCGAAGCTTTCAAGACTTGAATTACATGCATAACAGATGCATAGCTAGATAGCTTTTAAGCAATTATTCTGCTAGAGAGACAGCGCTTTAAAGAAGAGCATACATCTCGGATTTCGAAGTAACTACTTATTATGATGAACGGATAGCATACT